AGCGTTAGCCCTTCGTCAGAGCGAATGAAACTTCAGAAACTTACCCCTTCAATTCAAGTTCAATCTAGATTTAGTTTGTGCGCTGAAAGAGGAAATGAAATAAGTCGCAGCGACTTAGTTTGGAAAACAGTGCTTAAAACAGTGGCTCGCAGTCTCTTAGTCTTGTCTCGCGTTTCTTGAAGTCTTTGAAAACGATTCAGAGGACTTCGACTTACGCTGGCAAAACGAAAATCGCAGGAGGGAGCTTGGCCTCATTGAAAGCTTTCCTTAATGTTATTCTCTTATTGTTACATTCCCAGACTTATACAGGAGGAGATTAGAGATAGAAACTTCCCGGGGATAGACTACGTCGCAAAGTATCTTTCTAGGTAAAGTTTCATGTCATTCAAACTGCACTGATTTTTTATAAAAAGTTTTCATGGAACTTGGAATTAAGCACTGTACTATATACTGAAAATACTTAGATCGCGATGGTTTGAGGTCCTTGATAGATGCAAAAGTAATGGTCACTTGTATCCTAAGGTCTTATCTGTTGGTGATTTTATCGTCAGTTGACGAATTTTGAGTGATGAATGGAAGAAAATCAACATTAACTCTCTGTATGCACGCAAAAATAACCAGTAATTGAAAACAGTCAAGCATTTCCTGAAAGGTTGATTTCAGTTTTTCTTACCCCATTTTTAAGGTTGCAGGATTCTGAGCTTCTCTGGAACAACGTTCCTTGGCTGCTGGCGAAGAATCAAGAAATAGCCGTTAAGGTGCATTAAGTTTATGAGCAAATGAGTGAGCGACACGTTATCGATGATAGAAACAGACATGAGAACGTAAACGGAACGACCCGAATAACGAAAAATTTTTCCAATGAATTAGCGATGGAAGCGAGGCATTATTGTATTAGAGGCAGAAGAAAAAGGTTTCGTGGTACACTTCCATTCAGTTTCGCCTTGATTCGTTGTCTCCTTGTTACAGCAAACCGTTTTTAGTAAATCTTCGGGAGCTGAAAGTTGTTTGGTGTGATTACCCAAAAAAAAAGTGTCACGGAATCTCCAAGGAAAAGAAGAAAGGGAATTAACTATTGTACTACGGAGGGTAAACTTTAATACAATATTCTAATTTAATGATAGTGTGATATTTTTGGTGATCCTCTCTGTACATCTCTGCAGGTTTTCACAGACAGACCAACAGATTATCAACCCAACGACGAAAAAATGAAACCAGACTTGATTGTAGAATACCTACAGAGATTTCCTGTTGCTTTACAATACTATCTTGAGTATCTTGTGTACGACAGGAAATTCGAGGTATGACAAATGTTCGAGGCGTTCTTTTCACAGCACGAAACAACTGCCATTGCTCTCATTTGTGATGTTTCTTTAAACAATTATTACCAAACGCACTTACACTCATTGTGACAGTCAACGAGTAAATGGAAACGTTCCGCCAGTAGTGTAAATAGCTATCGATACCATTAACGGATTTCAGGTATAAAACCCTTTAGTTGCAAGCATTTTTGTAGGCGAAGATGAACAACCGTTTTTTTTAATTTTGAATTTTAAGGAAGTTGACCATAACTTCTGCTCGTGTGGTCTTCGTTTTTGTCGGCTTTTGATAAGTAACCAACCGTATATCCCTAACGTAATTAAGAATATATTTCTTGCACATTTTTAAACAGTCATCCATCTAGGAGGGGGGCATTAGGGCTTATTAGAAACCGCAAAATCTTAGAAAAAATTCGATCAAAACCGGAAAACCGAAAAAAAATTCGATCAAAACCGAAAACCGCTTGCAAAACTGTCAAAACCGATATATTTTTAGATCCCAGTTATTAAAACCCTGATCGATCTGATACAGTGGTGACAAGTGGAACATGCAGAGTAAACTACACTAATTTTATCACAGTATTTGTGAATACCATGGACTTGGCATTCTTATCTTCTAGTATCTGCTTAAATTGTAGGCTTTATTTCAGCTGCTCTCTTGAAGACCTCGAGCGTGGTCTCTGCGCACTCAGCAGCTGGTAATAGAGCCCAGTTAAGTGAAGGAAATTCGCACAAAAGTCCTCTATAGGATTGCAATTTTACAGTCGCAAAAAATCTATAGCTCTGGAAAATTCCATCGAAAATCCCTAATCTAACATTTCCATTTGCGAACTAAGACCTGAAAGTTTGGAAATCCTATTGGAATGTTGAGTCAATCAGTCACGTGTGGCCTGTAACTTGGTCACCAACTTCGAGGTGGCGTTGATAAAGAAACTCAAACAGTGTTCCGTGCTTAGCCATTGTTGTTTCTTGCCGAACTGTCCTTTGTCTTACTGCTGCGCCATATTCGTCATTCAAGACGCATGGACCCCTACAGATGGTCAAAGTCTTGTGCGTCATTCAAGACTCGCGAACCTCTTAGAGATTGGCCTACGTGTACCCGAACCCTCCCCTCCCCCCAAGGTGAAACGAAGGCGAGGCTCCCTCGCTTTCAATTTACCAAGGGGGGGGGGAGAGGGTACGGCTTCACGTGGGCTACTAAAGGATCCCTGCGATATTTGAATTGGTTTGTTACGCATTCCTCTCAATAACATTTGCGTTTCGCGGCTATTCGAGATCAGTGAAGGCGCGTAATTGCCGCTCAGATCGAAGAGAAGCCGGAACCCAAATAGGTCAAATAGGAAAAACAGAAAACTGCATCGGGTATCAAATCCGAAAACCCGTTAGTATTTCTCGCGAAAACCGAAACAAAATGCTAAATAACAAAAAATCCGCAAACCGTAATGGATACCAAAACCGAAAAACCGAAAAACCGATTTAAAAATAGCCAAAACCGAAAATCCCAATGTCCCCCTCATCTAGAGTTCCTTTTTTACCCCACCCTATATCAGTGAAGAAGACCACAAACAAAACGTTTCAGTAGGAGGAAGATTTTAACCCGTGAGGTGATACTGAACTTTTCAAATCGAAAGTGATTTAGTCACTCAAAGTTTATGTGCACGCTATTATGAGAAAAATCTCTACCGTTCTTGATTGGTCGGAAAATAGCAACAACAGTTTAGCTGATTTACTGAATTGTTTCTTCTCCATCGGATTCTTATTCCTTTATCAGAAAGAGAAGTATCACACTCATCTAGCCCTTCTTTATTTGGAGGAAGTGTTGAAAATGAGAAGAGATCCATCTTGCTCTCTGGACAATCTTGATAAACAAAGGTATGTTATTATCTAGCAGTGAGGACTGTGTATGACTCTCGCAAGTAGGCATGAACGAACTAGATATTGCCACTTTGGACATAGGGCATATCGATGGAAAGTTTCCAGAAAAAAAGCGTAGGCACTTTTCTCGGTCAGATTTCTTGGTTTGTTACTTTTAAACTTGATATGTCGGCCATGCGGTTGCGAAGACAGCTCAAGGTATTCCTGTTTTCCTTTGCAGAGTGAAACTGCGGGCAATGTTGGAGTGGTCTTCGCTGTATCGAGTGGCTCTGTTACTATCCAAGATCAACGATGATTCTGACTTAGATGCTGAAGCCGCCATTCTTTATGGAAAGGTTGGTGTGCAATTATTTAGCAAATCATCAAAAAGATGTGAAGTAATATCAACAGAGTGAGTGGTGCAATGACAATTAACGGCTTGAGATCAAGTCCAATTTTGTTCTTGTGTCGCTTGTGGTTGCAATTTTTAGGCCCTGATTTGACATTGACAGGCTTGTAACAGAATAAATTTTAATACTGAAAGCCTGGTTGCTTACACTTCTAGAGCAGCGTTTGTTGGTTTGTCATGAGTAAAAAGACTGGGATCGCAATGGTTTTGCTTTTTAAAATATCCCCCAGATTATGCCAGAAAACTCCCAACAAATCATGTGCCAAGCGACATACAAAGCTAAAACTAGTCGCTACAAAATCGCGACTTGGTCACTTGAGTTTTCCCGCGCTTCGAGCAGTTTCTTTTTTTGCTATGAGTTTTCACTGGAACGATGTAATATTTTTAAATAATTTTGTACGTTTTTTCAGATGGAGCAGTACAATAAAGCACTGAAGATTTTAGTTTACAAACTTGAGGATTTCTCTGAGGCTGAAAGGTTCTGTGAGCTACATTCAAAGGTGAATCTAACTCGAAGTCTTGCTTTCATTTAAGTTGTGATTTATTACTGTAATCTCTTTTGGAGTGGTCTTCTACTGTGGAATAATTTTCAATTCGCGGAAAATTTGCGTCGATATGTATGCACAGACAGTAATTATCACAATGAATTTTGAACGTTCACGTGAAAATCCATCCCGTTTGACGTTTTTCTTTGTGAAAATATCGCCGAACTGGAGAACTGTATATTTGAAAGCTGTACCTCATTGAAATGAAGATCACTCCTTGTTGGTTTGTTCGCCAGATCTGATCCTCAGCGGTTGCTTTATTTGTATAGAATTTAACCCTTTGACCCCTAACAGTGACTAAAATCCAATTTCTCCTTACAATATCACCCCTGAATCACACATTAAGATCACGAGAATGAAGGGAAAGATCATCAACTGAAGAAGCTCTTGATTGTTGAACAAATTCTCCTTGTTAGCACCTAAGGAAATGTAGACAGATCAATAAGGAGAGTATGCATACTAGTGTTAGGGTGTGAAGGGTTAAATGGGTCTCTACATCAGCTTTTGATCTTAAACTGGTCAGCGTTTTGGTCATGCGTGGTTGTCACCTCTTATTCTGCAGGGCAAAGACAGAAACTTTCGCATGAAGCTTTTCCAAACTTTGTTAGAAGTCTACCTATCTTCTGATGAGTAAGTGGTAAAACTTACGTTTTGCAAAAGTTTTATCGTCCATTGCTTGGTTAAACTTGCTGAGTAGTTCTAATAAGCTTTGGCAACCTCGAAAGTTTCTCAGGGTACATGTGTTGTCTCAGTCAGAAAAATGAAGTTTTAAATTTGGTGAAAATTTAGAGTTTTAGCTTGCGGTCTTGAATAAAAATCCTTCGCTTGGTATAATTGATTGTCCTGTTATTGAAGGATAAAGGAGAAATAAGAAACCTTAAATGAGCAAATCAAGTTTTTGTTCTGTGTCTCACAGGGACCACGAACCATTAATAGCACCAGCGGTTGCACTTCTAAACTCACATATGTGTGACTTTGACACAGCTGAGGTAAGCGGTTCCTTTTTCTGAAATACGTTTAGTAGTTTTTCAGATGCACATTCGATAAAAAAAGAAAAACGTCTCCAAAATAGACCTCCACCCAGCTTGTTACGATGCAATGACGGAACTTACTCCACATCAAACATGGCCGGTCGGATAAACGATCGCGAGCTTGAAATGTCTTATAAGACGCCTGCACTGCAGGCCAGGGTCAGTAAACAAACCCAAACATGACCACCGACGAGCGTCATAGCCAGAATCAAGTCATTATGATAGTCAAGAAAAAACTACTAAAAAACAAAAACTACGTGTCCGATCTTATAGGCCTTTGAGTCTTTATATCTCACCGTGAAGAATTGCGTAACAATCAGGAGAACTTAAAAAAACTCATAATAAAGTACTTAAAAAAAACAATTCCGAAATGACATTCCATTTCAAATAAACAAACATCAATGCAGGAGAGACAATAGTCAGGAAACGCAATGCGAGGGTGAAGAGTGACACAATTCTTGACCTAAATCACAAGGGCAACCTTGAAATATAATTAACTGAAACACATCTCAACATTTTGTTTAAGGTATTGCCTTTTTTTTTTCATTTTTCAAGGCAATGAAGCTGATTCCTGACGAATGGTCGATCGGTGTAATTTCTCAGTTCCTGTGTGGTTCAGTTCGATCAAGTCTCCACAAAAGTCGCACCAGTAAGATTTTTAGCAGCCTAGCTCGCGGAGAAAACCTCAAGGCAAGTTTTGTACCGTGCAGGATGTGACAAAAACGTGAAAGCTGGATTTGCTCGTAGACATGCAAAGCATAGGAAAAATGAAAAAGCGAAGTAAATCGAGGAGTAGAAAAATGGCCTACTTTTGTGGGGAACATATTGTCTCCATTAAAATTGTTCCAGGTGGTATGTCAACATTACTACAGTCATCAAGGTCTATAGAACCATAGGTGTTGAAAGCAGTCATAAAGAAGGAGGAAAAACACTCTTCACTTCGGTCCACGAGTGCACAAGAGAACCAGCAGGACAATATTTAGATATCTTGGCCTCACTGTTGGGTAAAAACATATATGAATAGGACCGAAATGACAAGTGACCACAAAGTGAGCATGCTTGTGGATACAATAACATGAACGCCACAAACTCTAATGTTAATTATCTTTCATGTCTTTTCATTTTGAAATATTTTATCTTTTGAATTCTGGTTTTTAATGAGTTTTGCTTTTCTTTCAGATGCGAAGTTCGCACATGATCTCCCATAAAGCTAAATTTTCAGTGACGGAGGAAAAGTAACTTTTTTTGTTGTTAATGCAGCTACGTGTCAGTTTGATCATATTTGAAATTTAGCCTAAACTTTTTTTCACCCTGCCATCCTCTACGGTGATTCTCATCCAAACCAAATTCTCTTGCAAAGCTCAGTTTGCACAAAGTATCGATTTGACTCTTTCCCTCCCTCCCACGATCATAATTAAACAGTATCCCCTAGCTGATATTTTTCTTTCTTCTCATCACCTTTATGCTTAAAAATGTCTCGTACTTCAAGCGAAACTCCTTTGTGGTTAGTCCTGGGAAAGAGAGGTTTCATACAAATGAGAGGAACTGAGGAGACAGAGAAAGCCCATAAGGCCTTTCGGTCCACTGTGATTATTTTCAGTTTTCTTGACAGAAACGGATGTCTGTTTTCTGGCACGTTCGATAGAAACTGATTGACTGCATCTTTTTATTTTTTATTTTATTTTACTTTATTTTAAGACTATGTCAAGCATGTCGGCGGCCGTTTAATGACCCAGCTGTAGCGCGTTACCCGAATGGCGTGACTACGCATATACACTGCGCAAGAAATAAAACTGTTTGCCCCGTGACGGGGCATGTGTTCTCATCCAAAGAACAGCATCGGGACGAGGTCAATAAAGACGACAGAGTTTGAGGGTGTTAGAAATAAAACGAAATATCAGAATTTCATCTCACTTGGAGTATTAACAGTGGAAAAAATGCTGGAGAAGTGGTGGAAATTGTGCTGAAATGTGCGGCGTAGCTAACAATGGGGGAAGTAATGGAGAAATGGTCATTTTGTCAGGCATCGAGCATTCCGCGATGAGAAGCTGTCATTTTTTACCATCTGTTGCTTTTTGACTTTGTGTATATATCCAAATATTTTAAAGCTTTTAAAGAGGAGTGAAAATATATTTTTATATAATTTCTGTAGGTGATATACAGGAAGCCTAGCTCTTGATGTAAATTGGATGAGAAAAAGAAAGGTAGACAGATGAAAAGAGAAAAATTATGAAATGATGATGTTTGAAATCATGACATGGAAAAGGAGACCACGTTTCTGAAGCGGCGAAGGCGAAGACGAAGATAAATTGATAATTATTTGAGTTACGTGGATGAAACAGAAATAGAATTCGGCTTTTAAAAATCTTATTTCCGCATGACTTAAAAAGAACAATTTTGAGAATAAGCGCTAAATGTCTGTATAGGTAAACAAGAACATAGAATTGTATTAAACCATACAAACATGTAAAAAGAGAAATGACATTTTTTCATGGATTTACATACATTTTTGCAAGAAATGTGACTATTACTGCCAAACCGCGTTCTGTGACCCCTACCCATCAAAATAAAGGCAAGTGTAAAAAGTGTTTTTGACAAATGAATTTTCTTTGGATGTAAACAGCAAGTCATTTTCCTATCAGAGGCTTCGAACTAACCCTCGTTTTAAGGGGCTCGGATATGAGCTATTTTGACATCAAAAATTTTGATGTCATTGACAAACAAATTGAAAAAAATTTGATAAATAGCTGGTGTTGGCTCACACTTGGATGGTCTAAAGATCATTAAACTATTGTTTCATGCGGCAACGCGCGTTCATTGAGGAATTAAGGAAGTGAAAATTTTATAGAGAACGAAATATGCATAAGAGTTACTCGAGTTACAGCTTAAATGTTTTAAAAGAGAAGTTCGTCCACTACTCTTCTGCGTGTCACACATACGTCATCAGGGCCCTCCTTGAAAATATTAGGCACATTCCCTGGACCGTCGGATGAAAACCAAATTACGTGCGTGGCTCTAAGGAATCCCGAATCGTATAAATTTTACAAGAATTTTATTCGATCTGAAACAATAAAATAAATAAGAATTCTAAACAACAGAACCTAACCAAAATTAAGAGACCTAAGCACATCATATAATCTTAGAAACACGAACAGATTTGACCGCTAATTACATGCGGTCTTACAGAAATTACACGAACAGAAATCAAAGCGAATAATTGAATGTAACAAAGCCTAAGGAAACCAAAAACGACTTAAAACAACTGACTTACTTCGTGACGGGATTCCAGAGTTAAACTAAACTGTATAATCATCAAAAACGGGAAAGCTATCCTGATTCATGCCTCCGACACGACACGTGTAAAAACTAACTAAAAACCATCAACTTACTCATATTTCAGTGTCAATCAAGGTGATCAATAAGTGAAAAGAAAAAGTGAAATATTAAACTAAATAAACTTTTAAACGTAACGCAAATGTCACGCAAGCAATGTTCTTCTCGAAACATTCCCGTAAGTGAATTAGATGACTAAATGACTGAAATGTACTAAGAAGTAGAGGGTAGTTTCTTGGGCTTCGAGATCTGACTGAGACTGCGTCACAATATGATTTCTAGGTCTATTATATATTGGATTCTGGACGATTGTCTATTTCCGAGATGCCCCTCAAATTTGCAAAAGATCATATGAATTTGTCGAATCGCCGATTTTCTTCATTTTTTTTTAGGGAACGAATGGAGAGAAATTTTCTCCAAATAATTCGTTCAGCTAAAATGGGTGCTGTTTACCAATTTACCTGATCCAATTCGCATATTGCTTCGTTTACTTGAAGTTATCCGAACTTTGATTACAGTAATGTTTAAAAAACGAGCAGGAGTGTTTTATCGGGTTTAAAACCACGAGGCGTAGCCGAAAGTCACGTGCAGTGTCTTTATATCTGATAAAACACCGCATACTAATAAGGATGAGGTTTATCGATATAAAGTCACTGCACGTGATGTATTATCTACCATTTGATAGGTTAATGGGCTTATGAATTATTAATTAGTTTTTGAAGTGAAGTTTTAAAACTCTTAGCTAGCAGTATAGTCCCTACACACCCCACCCCCGTCGCTAAAAAAAAGGTTGGCGCATCAAGGCCAGGTTACTTAGAAGGCACCCCAAGATGGCGACTGGCTCGTCAGGTGATTCCTTGGGTCAATTTTCGTCCTAAAGAAGAGTCCCTTGGGCAACCATGGCGTTCAACAAGGTACGTTTAACCACAATTACTTTATGTGTACAATGATCCTGATTTTAGACTTGTCGGATCATGATAGCTAGTTTCTCAAGACTTATACGGGCCCGCTTTTTACCAGTCAGTGGTAGTGCGCGCGCCACGCAGTGTTAATCGATACTCTCCATAACTTCGATCTGCGCCTGCAATAGAACCTCATAAGCCTGCTAGCTAATTTTCATTTGGAAGAAAGTGAAAGTTTGCAAGAAATATGTCAGCATCAGCTTTTCTTCCGTTTTGGGATCAATTATTTTGTAAGTAACTTGCCTCGTCTCTTCAATATGCTAATATTTGACTACTGAACTTGAGCAAAAGTTTCTAAATATAGACTTAGCGTAGTTCCGATTTATTGAAACACTAGCGCGTGCAGCGAGAGTGTGTTCCAAAGGTTATTATTATCGGTTATAGCAGGGATCAGGGTGGTATTTCATGATACAAGGATGGATGATTAAGAGCATTTTGGTGAAATATTCATTATTGACTCATTTACTTTGCGTATTTGTGTTTTGCTCTTGATCAGTAGACTGTAATCTTAATCAGTTTCCTTTCAACAATACAACTACAAGTACCCTCTCATCTCTTTTTTTGTGTATTTCAATAGTTAATAGTCCTTATGCTCTTTTGAGTTTCTTTTATAGTTTGGTGAAATGGTCTGGAAAAGCCGATATTTTTACTTGATTTTTGATTTTTTGATATTTGTTAAATTTCAAGACGTTTCAAATTAATGATTTCAATAATGAAGGGGTAAGTTTCTAAAGAAACTGTGGTGCTGCGTCGGTGGGAGAGTATAGCAGGTAATTTAGTGTTAACAACTGGGTTGAAAACGTAAATTAGCCACCGTAAAGAGTAAAAAAGCTGACGTTTCGAGCGTTAGCCCTTCGTCAGAGCGATTGATCAATCATGATCAATCGAAGGGCTAACGCTCGAAACGTCAGCTTTTTTACTCTTTACGGTGGCTAATTTACGTTTTCAACCCAGTTGTTAACACTAAATTACCTAATGATTTCAATACTCAATTTAGTCTATTGTAATTGATAATTTTCTATCCTAAATAATCAATTTATATCAAAAATCAATAAAAATCAAAACCTGTGGTTTTTGTGATTATTAATTTTACAGGTAAGAAAAAAACCCTGAGTTAATTCTGAATGTAGACAATGTCATTTTTTCTCTCAGTTGAGTAAATCACTATTAAGAATATTCTGGAACTAAATCTTGTGATTATTTTTATGTATCAATTATTTTACCTAATCAATCAACAAACTTTGAGTATTATCCAGTAATATCAAGCAATCAATCAGTTTCCAGTGATTGATTTCTATTGATTTGTAGCATCCTGTATTTTAATATTGATCAATTCTTCCTTACAAAGTGCAATTAAAGTTATTTTACTTACTCTACTGTTATTTTCTTACTTTATTTCTTGAGCCTTTAACTCTCAGAAGCGATTCTAAACATGTAGAGTTGTATGTAACTTCTCCCTTTAATTTCTATACATTATCCAGCAAAGAGGAAATGAGAATACTCAAGCTTATCAGGTTGAAGTTGTTATCTTGTTCTAACTTTAAATTCTAGCAACTAACCTACAAGGAAATGTTTAGCAGCTAGAAGGGAGAATTACATGTAACAATCAGATCTTGGGAGTTAAAGGATTAACGTAGGCCATCTGTGAATGATTTTTTCCTTTTTCTATCTAGGGTATTTTTCTACAATTTTCAAAATTTTTATGCATTTTATCTGTTTGCTTCATATTATTTGCATTGGATCATATTCGACATTAATTTTGCCTGACGTTAGCAACAATGAAGGTGTTGTTGTTAAAAATGTGCAGCATGATTATCACTGCAGCACTGACGGGGTTCACTGTGATGAAATACTACATTCAGTTACATTCCCTCTAGACAACAATAGATGCACAATGTTTCTGTTACTTTCAATTACTAAAATGAGAATAGATCATTTGATATGTGTATTTTCTGTTTGAAAAGACGATTTTTGGTGGAGGGGTAAGATTGAAGAGCATACACAAGGTATAGCATCTTGTACTTGGATATCTCTAAAATCCCCTTCGCTAGAGTTACCCTGTAAATATTGAAAAGATTTTCCTTCCCCTCCCTCAAGGTGAAATAGATGGGTAAGAGACAGGCATTTTTCTTGATAATAACCCTTTCATTTCTGTGGTTTTTAACCTCCTAACTCCTTTGAATGACCAAGCCAGAAATACTCCTTACAATATCAATACATTATCAAGTAGACAAGTGATGAGAATAAAGAAAAATATCAAACAAGAGACTCTAAGTTGATTCATTACCAAATTCTCTGAACTAACATCATAAGAATTGTACAGCAGATAATATAGAGAATTACTAATGAGATCTAGGGACTGAAAGGATTAAAAGATAATCTGTAGTAAAGAACATGTAATACATAGTCTTTAATATTGTTTTCCTTTGTACTCTTTGAACAGATTTTAACATTTCTTTAATTATGTTAAACTCATTGTGTTGATGCTCTGTAGTGAGTAGTGAGTTTTATTTTAACTGTCAGTTGTTCCATAATCATGTTTAATAACAAAATAACTTTTAATAATATGATTTTAGTAACAAATGTCTGCACAAGTTCAAATTTCCTCTGTTTATGCAGATTTCAGTCCCATGTGAGGTTACTGGAGAATGAAGCGCACAAAGGCTCAGAGACATAATTTATACATTTTTGGCGCTCAAAAGGTACATGTAACCTTCACCTGCTTTGGTGTTTGTGTAATTGCTTCTTATAATCTGCCCCGACATTGTAACATAAAGTAAGCATAGTTTATCATTGATTCACCTGGTGATCATTAGCCAATGGAAAAGGCATTGGCCAAATATTGACACATTGGCAAGGGGTGGTAAGAGACCCCCAAAAAAGTCATTGTCTTGTAGTGCTGGATGAGACACTTTTCTCTTCTAGTAATATTCTTCATTTACCATATTCTCCTTTCCTCCTC